GGGTGGGGACATTAGTATGGGCGTGCCTGGGGTGGGGACATTAGTATGGGCGTGCCTGGGGTGGGGACATTAGTATGGGCGTGCCTGGGGTGGGGACATTAGTATGGGCGTGCCTGGGGTGGGGACATTAGAGTGGGTGTGGACATTAGTATGGGCGTGCCTGGGTTGGGGACATTAGAGTGTAAGCTCCTCTGGGCCAAAGCCTGATGTGAAGGGTTCCCTGAATTATAATGAGCTGTGGAATCGTATCGATTGATGATGTCACTGCATTGGGAGTATGACCCTTGTGTTTCCTCATTAGGTACCTGGCAGAGAGGGGTCTATCCCGGGGCTCCGGAACGGCTGTGTTCCCTGCTCTGTACGGCCCTGAAGAGAGGGACAGGGAGTACGCTCGCTGGTGTCTGGATGACTGGGCGGGGAGGAGTGGCCATGATGCTCCAATGATTGCGTATGATGCCCTGTTAGGAGCAGGAGACTCATGGGAGGAGCTGTGCAGCCGTTCCATGTTCCATGGAGGTGAGCCCATCCAATCCTATCATCAAAGATACATAAGCAGGCTTTGCTTCCTACTCAATAACGATACCGATTGGTATGTTCGGGTTTGCCTTCCGAATGTCGGCTTTGCTGCTACTGACAGACTTCATCTGTAAATGTCATTTTGGCTAAAGTTACATTTTAAGGGAATTTCCTCCAATCACAGGCTTGCTGGGTAGAATCTGCACTTCACTGATGACTGGTTGACCAGCACGGCTCTTTATATGGCAGACGCAATCTTCAGCAGCTTCTCATGTTTTTCCTCTTCCGTGTTCAGGTGACAGCGACTCCACGGGCGTGATTGCCGGCTGCTGCTGGGGGGCTCTGTATGGACTGTCAGGGGTGCCGAAGGGGAATTACAGCGAGCTGGAGTACAGAGACAGACTGGAGAGTGCAGCTGGATCGCTCCACAAGCTGGCCTGGCCCGGGCACTGACGGTGAAGGAGCCGCGTGGCCTCCAAGCTTGCGGACCGATACCTATAGAGACTCGGCCTCAGCACCACACTGGGCTGGATCAATATCAGTCCAATAAAACACCAATTCATGGACTAATGTGTTCCTAATTTGTCAGCCCACCCAAAGGTGACACTCCGGTGATAGGTGGAGTCTAATGGGTTTGGTCACCCATAGGGTTCCTCTATCTCAGGGGTGCCCATTAGGTAGATGGTGATCTATGAGTAGCTCTCAGAGCTGATGCTGGTGGATCAGGAAGGGGGGGAAGGGCGGCCCCTTTATTCCATGTTGGTATATTTATCTCGCTGTGCACACATGATTACCTATCAGCCCGAGTCTGCTGAGCCGAGCTCCCCCGACACCTTTCTGGAGGATACTGGGGGTTGTAGTGCTATGTATTACATCAAAGAATATTAGTGTACACAGCAAAATACAGCAAGGTGAGCCCGGGGAGAGGGCGCGAGGAGAGACAGCCAGGGGATAGAGAGCGCGAGGAGAGACAGCCAGGGGATAGAGAGCGCGAGGAGAGACAGCCAGGGGATAGAGAGCGCGAGGCGAGACAGCCAGGGGATAGAGAGCGCGAGGCGAGACAGCTAGGAGAGACAGCCAGGGCAGACTATTGGTGGTATCCCCCCCCCTATAATTGAATTGTCTATTCCCGCCCACTGTGTAGATTTGGGTGTTCTGAATCTTGTTCCATGTCTCCGTAATATAAAATCCACCAGGAAGGACGAGGCCCCTCCAATGACCGGGGATACCATGCAGCAGCACATACTCAACTTTTACTTAGCTCATGAGCGCTAGCACATGCGTGGACGGGGAATCGAGCCCCACACCTCCCAGAAGTACAAGTATTTTCTTCCCTTGGGGTAACTGAATGGAGTGATGGGGCAGAGAATGAAGGGCGAGTATGTGCTGCTGCGAGGAGGCATTAAAGAGAACCTGTTGCTTTGCCATGCATTGCCAAAGAACATATTTGCAGTATTGTAAGTCAGGAGCGGGACACATTTGGGGAGCCAGGTGGCCAATGCCGCTTACAATTCACATCTGGTGCCTAACTTTTCAGGTGTTCTCTAGCTGTTGTCACTGCAGGAGGCTCCTGAATTGGACTGACTGGTATTAATTTGTCCAACCCTGGTATAAGTGTACTCAGGTGAAAAAATACTTGAGCTTGAAAGTTTTGGATTTCCTCTTACTCGCTGCCTCTGTGACAATGGTCACCAGGACATATAGAGAGGGTGAATCTACCCAATGGGGGCTCGAGCAGTAATAAAAGTATGACACAGGGTCTAACCCTTATTCTGTAAAATAAAAAATCGTTCTCTACATACACTTTAATGTTGGCAATATTCGGAGCCATATATAGAAATATGGTCGCCCCTCGCCAGCCATTAATGCCTTTTTTTGTCACCCTTGAGAGGCCGGCAGGGGCTTGTCCTATACCCAAAGCTGCCAGTGAATCCAGGAAGAAAAAGCCGGTAGCACTCCATTAAAAGTCAATGTGGATGTAACTTTGTTGTTCTGGACAAACAGACACGGAGTCCTTGCCTGGAATGTCCTCCTCCGACTCGTTTCACCCAAAAGACTGGGCTTAGTTGTAGAGAAGGAGGTCCCAGGCAGGGACTCCTTGTATGTTTGTCCGGAACAGTAAAGTTACATCTGCATTGAATTTTTGGCTGCAGTGTTCGTATTTAGAAAAACACTGCTGTGCAGATTCTTAATGGTGGTCGGATCGCGTCTGCTCATTTGTCCACCATCTACGCTGGAGGCCTTTAGCCCAAGCAGGAGAACATCAGAGGGCCAAATCGATCCACAACCTATGTTATAAACCAACCAAACCAAACTAACTCTAGACACAGCAAGCAGAAGTGTGACTCAACAACCCCCCCCCTACCCTGGTCTCTTAAAGCACAACTCCACCCAAAATATTACAGCCCCCGTCAGGTGTTGTCAGTGACCCTCTGAAGTGATTTCCACTCACTTCCTGTCGAGATGGGAATTCTTTTCAATGAGGATGAAGACAAAAGCACATTTTTTGGTGGAGCGGATAAGAACTTTATTGGTACACACGACTTTCTGTCCCATTGAGGGCCAAACTCCACTATTTTTGCAAAAAAAATGAGGGAAAATAGAAATACTCTTCAAAAGGTCAGATAACAAAAACAAAAAAGGAAAAACAAGGAACAGCCACTCGTCTTTATCTTCAAAATGTTAAAGGAACCGGTGGACTGGCTTATGAAAATGCGCTCCCAGTAGGGCGGAGCAGGAACAGCATGTGACTGGAGGTCACGGCCATGAGAGGTGCACCAGAAGTGAACAGGTCCAGACTATAAACTCCACCAGGGAGATCGATCAGGGTCCCCCGGGTCTTGGAGAGAAAAAGAGAGAAGAGTGAGCGCCTGTTGAAGGGGTCAATGTAGAGGCAAAGTAGAAGTAAACCCAATCACTAAAATCTCATGGTGAGCATTGGGGGGTGGGGTGCCTGCAAAAGTGTGTCTCAGTGTAGACTTGTGCCAAACATACATAGCAATATTTGCTCCTCACAACCACCCTTGGTTCACCATAGGACGTTCTTCTGCACCCACCAACAAGAATCCATGACCAGGTGGTAGGGTGGTCCAATAACCCGTAACCAAATGTTCTCTACAGTCTTCCCCATGTGTTGGAGATGCAACCAGGCAAGGAGAACACTATTCTATATCTTCTGGTAATGTCCGAGAACACATTGGGAAGAATGGCTACCAAATTCACAGGGGGCTACCTTGGGGGACCCCCCTCGCCAGGCAAGGGGAACACCACTCCATATCTTGTAATGTTCACAAACCTATTGGGAAGAATAGCTACCAAATTCACAGGGTTATTTTGAGGGATCACCCCTCCCTTGCAAGGGGAACACTACTCTATATCTTTTGGGATTGTCCATGAACTTATTGGGAAGAACAGCTACCAAACTCACTGTGATTATGATTATCTTAAGGTATCCCCCCCCAAGGGGAACACTACTCTGGTAATGTCCATGAACTTATTGGGAAGAACAGCTACCAAACTCAGGGATTATCTTGAGGGATCCCCCCCTTCCCTGGCAAGGGGAACACCATGCCATATCTTTTGGGAATCTCCATGAACTTATTGGGAAGAACAGCTACCAAACCCCAGGTAAGGAGAAAACTACTCCATATATTCTGGCAACGCCCATTTTTACTAACACTATGGCACGTTATTAAAAGAATATCTACCAAACTCCCAAGGTTTACCTTTGGGGGTAACACCACCACCTTCTTCGTCAATCCTCCACCCAGGAAACAATATAAAACTCTTTTCCTATTCCCTTCCTAAATGCAGCAAGAACAGGTACACCAATAAAATGTAGCACTGACCCGTCCCCCATTGGTCAATGGGATTCTGTGATCAAAGAAATTAATCTTACGGAGGATCTAATTACAGTTTGCAAGGGAGGAAAATTCCGAAAAAAAGACACCAAACTTGTGTGTATATAATACCAGGGCACATGAAGCCATATCTATCAGAGCACACAGCAGATCATTCTCTCTCTCTCTATCCATCTCTCTTTATCCATCTATCTATCTATATACACTGAGTGGCCGGATTATTATATACACTGAGTGGCCAGATTATTATATACACTGAGTGGCCAGATTATTGTATACACTGAGTGGCCAGATTATTGTATACACTGAGTGGCCGGATTATTATATACACTGAGTGGCCGGATTATTATATACACTGAGTGGCCGGATTATTATATACACTGAGTGGCCAGATTATTGTATACACTGAGTGGCCGGATTATTATATACACTGAGTGGCCAGATTTTTATGACCACCTGACGTTTGTAGGCAAATTAGCTATAATTTGGCGCTGAAGTTGCTAGAGGGCCAGACCATTATACACAGGGAAGCGGGTTGTTTACCACAACAGTAGAAGTGATTTGTTTCTGAAGATACGGGGAAACAACGCGATGTAACAGCCTTTGAGCGCGGGATGATTGTTGGCGCTCTGAGCCATGGAGCGAGTATCAGCAAAACAGCAGAATTCGTTAAATGTTCAAGAGCGGCTGTTGTTAAAGTGTTTAAAGACCGGACTGTCAGCCAAAAATCTGGGTCTGAACGTGCGAATTGTGGCCGTCAGCGACTAGTCAATGTTAGGGCAGAACGGGGGAGGGGCAAGACTGGTACAAGACAACAGAAGGGCAACAGCGCAGTGTCAGATTCCTCGCATCACCTTTCACCATCTCGTGGAGTCACGAAGTACTGATGGGGTGGTCGTAATAATCTGGCCGCTCAGTGTATATCTCCGTGTCCTGATAAACAAAGGCTTTATAAAATATCTCATTGGCTGCTTTTAATACTCCGGTACCCTGGGCTGAAATCTGATGATCTATCACAGCAACATCTCATCTATATATATACATACCATGAATGAATTGCGATCAATAATCCGGCACATGTTGATGTCACTTCCTGCTGCGACCATGTGACCAGCGCCCAGCCAGCGACAGCCATAAATCTATAAGTCGGGAATAGCATTCAGAGATTTTTACACCTCAAGGCAGATTTATAAAGCTATACAGGGAACAATGAGGAGAGTGGTTCATGCCAATCAGAATCCAGCAGCTGAGCCCAATCGGGAGAAAGACGATTACTGATTGGCTGTTAAGGTTCACCGCAATGTCTGTGCTGCTCTTTGACTTATTAAATACATCCAGGACATTCACTGAAGAGTTTATTAAGATTAGACACATATTTGATTAAAAGTTGGTAACTCTGATCCACAAGGTCCCAAGCTACACACTACAGTCATAGGTGCCGGCCACACTGTCATCACTTCCCCACCTTATCTCTTCTATTAGGTCATAGTAAGAGGTGAAACATATCAGGTTAAGGAGTCTCTCTTCCACTGGTTACAATAAAGCTGGTTTGGAGGTGCCACTGGAAGCTGCTTGCCCCCCAGATTCAGACACCTACAGTGTTTCCCCGAAAATAAGACCTAGTGCTATCTTCGGGGATTTCTGTAATATAAGACCTACCCCGAAAATAAGACCTAGTGCTATCTTCGGGGATTTCTGTAATATAAGACCTACCCCGAAAATAAGACCTAGTGCTATCTTCGGGGATTTCTGTAATATAAGACCTACCCCGAAAATAAGACCTAGTGCTATCTTCGGGGATTTCTGTAATATAAGACCTACCCCGAAAATAAGACCTAGTGCTATCTTCGGGGATTTCTGTAATATAAGACCTACCCCGAAAATAAGACCTAGTGCTATCTTCGGGGATTTCTGTAATATAAGACCTACCCCGAAAATAAGACCTAGTGCTATCTTCGGGGATTTCTGTAATATAAGACCTACCCCGAAAATAAGACCTAGTGCTATCTTCGGGGATTTCTGTAATATAAGACCTACCCCGAAAATAAGACCTAGTGCTATCTTCGGGGATTTCTGTAATATAAGACCTACCCCGAAAATAAGACCTAGTGCTATCTTCGGGGATTTCTGTAATATAAGACCTACCCCGAAAATAAGACCTAGTTCGGGGTAGGTCTTATATTACAGAAATCCCCGAAGATAGCACTAGGTCTTATTTTCGGGGAAACACGGTATATGAGCTGTGAGGTGGTCAGTGACACACAGGGATAAATTTATAAAATGAAGAAATAAAGTCACCAGCACGCCATATAGTGGTTTAGCAATAGTCCATTTAATGACACATTGCCATTCAATGCAAGCGCTTTTGGGGCCTCAAAGGGTCCCCTTCATCATTCTGAGCCTGATGAAGGGGACCCTAAACCACTATTTGGCGTGCTGGTGCCTTTATTTCTTCATTTGAGTTATTCACGATGCCATCCGTGTTCACTACAAGCACCCACCCATCTACACGGGTCTCTTGGATGTTCCGGTAAGGAGTGCAGCAAGACCTCTGGTTCTTAATATCTATAAAATGTTCGCAGAGGCATTCCGTCTGTGCAAAAACTTGCATCCCATTATGGCCACTAGATGGAGCCGGGGAGCATTGGAATCTCCTCAGCTCCATCTAGTGGCCATAATGGGGAGTGAATGTAAAAGATTCGCACAGAACGAACGGCTCTGCGAATGTTTTATAAATAAAATTGAAGTACATAGTGCTGGCAAACATATAACCAACGCCCTTATACCCCAGATTTGGGGCTCCATTTTTAAAACTCCCACCTCTAGATGGCGCTGACGAGTTAAGGATGTATACTCATCAGCGCCATCTAGGGGCACTAGTGCCGTGCAAATAGCATCCTTCCAATAAATGAAGCGTACTCACCCGGGAAGGACCCCTAAAATCGTCGGGAATGGTGGTGATCTTCTGTCCGCTCTGAGAATCCCAGATCTGTACAAGGCAAGAGGAAGTGATAACAGTGAACACCACTGAATTCAACATGTGAGCTCCAATAATGTCTTCTGTCTATGAGATAATTAGTGCACCCCCCCCCCTTCCCCATTCATCCACACTCTCTTCTAACTGATCAATGGCATAAAAACTAAACCCTAAATGTCCCTTTTATTGACCTAAATCCACAGTCATGTGACATTCGGATCCCTGGTTGCCTCCCAGTAGGTGGGGTCCTTCTGCATGATCTAAACACTTCCTATTGGCTGCTTCCTCTTAGGATCCTGAAGGGAGTCTGCAGATGATGACTCCAGCCCAAAGGGACCTCAGGGGGGGAGGGGGTTGGCTGGCATGGGCACATCTACAGCGCCGGGAATACCGGTCCCCGGAACCGAGAAATGGTACCAATGTGGGACGCAAATGGTCAACTTAGGAGAGTAACTCCCCCAAAACACACAAAGAATGCAAATAGGTTAGGTGTGGGGCCCGGATTCATTCTTGGAGAAGGCTTTAACCCTATCATAGCTGGTGCAGAGGAATAAGAAGTGTGCGGCCAGTGTTAGACTCCCTGTTGCTCTCTATCCCTGACCTTAGGTGTCTGCTGAGACTTGTAGTTCTTCTACCAACCTGATCTAGTCCATCACTTGCCTGCCCCTCTTCCCCCTTCCGTATTCCCCCCCCATCTCACCTGCAGGTTCTCCTCCTTCCTCCATGACCCAATCAGAATCTGTTCTGTGTCCGGATCGATGTCCAAAGCATCTCCGCACACATGGGGGCCCGAGAGTCTCCTGGAAAGGGGGAGAGATGAGACATGTAGTCACCGGAACACACAACACAGCAGTGACAAATCTCATCCTACACACTGAGGCCAGCCAAGGCAAAGAGCCATCTACACAATCTGTTCAATCGGTATCCAATCCCGTGGGCCCTCGCACCGGGGGAGCCTAAAGGAAATTGTACAATTAGATTGTAACACGTGTGGCCAGATCGCTCCGCACTTACCTTAGGGAATGTCTCTGCCTGATGTCCCAGAACTGCAAAACACACAAAGAGTATTTATTATCCCGGCCGGACGTCAGCAAGGGGCCTAAGTGCACGTCATGATGTACAGACAGCCATTATACAGGCAGATCCCGGCTGGGGGGAGGGGCCGGCAGGGGGCTGTACATCGCTTCCTGATAACATCACAGCACCCGGCCTCATTACTCCTCTCAAGAGCCCTCAGCCCTGATGCAAGCAGTGGGTCGGCTCTTGGGAGGAGCTATGCAAATATCAAAATGCCTGTGTCAATGTAAAGGAGCAGAATGTTAATAGGCAGGGAGGTATTTGCATGAAGACCGACTCTAGGTAACAGCCACGTGGGGTGCGGAGTCTCCATGGACCTAGAATCCAATGATTGCAAGGGGTGGGACAGGGACAGTCAGGCTGGGGAGGAAAGTGCTAGATGATGCTGGACGTCCCCCTGCAGCCAGGAAATGGGGCGGAGCTCTATCTGACTTGCTGCAGCCTCTAATGTACATTGTGAGAAGCTCCCAGTGTGCAGTGACATCAGAGGAAGAGGAGAGGAGCCGGTACAACTGTGCAAGACTGAGGGGAAGGCCGGAGACTGAAGGGAAGGCCGGAGACTGAAGGGAAGGCCGGAGACTGAAGGGAAGGCCGGAGACTGAAGGGAAGGCCGGAGACTGAAGGGAAGGTCGGAGACTGAAGGGAAGGTCGGAGACTGAAGGGAATGATGAAGCCCAAAGGCTGAAGCGAAGGTCGGAGGCTGAAGCAAAGGTCGGAGTCTGAAGGGAAGGCCGGAGACTGAAGGGAATGATGGAGGCTGAAGAGAAGGATGGAGGCTAAAGGGAAGACCAAAGGCTGAAGCGAAGGTCGGAGACTGAAGGGAATGATGGAGGCTGAAGGGAATGATGGAGGCTGAAGGGAAGGTCGGAGGCTGAAGGGAAGGTCGGAGGCTGAAGGGAATGATGGAGGCTGAAGGGAAGGCCGGAGGCTGAAGGGAAGGCCGAAGGGAAGGCCGGAGACTGAAGGGAAGGCCGGAGGATGAAGGGAAGGCCGGAGACTGAAGGGAAGGCCGGAGACTGAAGGGAAGGCCGGAGACTGAAGGGAAGGCCGGAGACTGAAGGGAATGATGGAGGTTTCTCCCCATTTCCTGTCCCAGTGACCACATACTGAAGAAATTCTCCATACATGGCATAGTCAGGAGCGAGGTTCTAACCCCTCACCGCTTTAATTAAAAAAGTGTTTCTCTTTTTCATTCTGTCTCCATCAGAGAGATTTTTCCGTCACTTCCTGGTCCGGTGACCACACAAGACGTGAAAAGAAATCTCTCCCATTAGACAGAATCCCGACAAAACGGAGACTCCTCCCCTCTCCACCCGAAACTAAACAAAACACAGTGTTGTCCGTAGTCCCACTTTCCCTGATCAGACTCCGGGGGGGGTATTGTGTTACCTGGACGGTGTTGTCCCAGCCCCCAGATATGAAGTTCCGCTCATTGTACAGGTGGAACTTCAGAGCGAAGATACGAGAGCGGTGACCGTCCATCACAGACGGGGAAGGGCTGCGGAAGACGGAACGAGGGGTCACTTCAAATGACAAAATGTTTGTTTTTTTTAGGTGACACTGAAAATAGTGACAAACAAAACAAATAAAAACCAACTAAAAAGATAAATGTTTAAAAAAATAGAAATAATAAAAAAAATCAGCATGGGGAGGAGTTAATTAGGGTAAACAAAGGGTTAAAAAGTTCATGTAATTTTATAGGTATCTATCTACCAGTAGCTGCCTCATTTCCCACCCTCGGCTTATATTCGGGACGGCTTATACTCGAGTATATACGGTATTTGATTTTTTTTTTCTTGTATTGTCTCTTTAAGTGATGCAGATGAAAGGTCTGACCTCTGACCTCCATCATATGAATGAAATACAATGTAATGATCCACGACACCCGCAGACTGTGTCACACTACACAGGAGCGGCTGTATATTTGAGGGCTGCTCGCGCTGTGTAAAACAAAGCCGATCCCGGCTGTCATTTTGACAGCTGGTAATAGCGGTGGGCGGGGAGCTGGACGTAAGGGATTTGTTCTACCAGTAGGGATGCACCGATACTAGTAATCGGTGCCGAGTACTCGCCCAAATGCTCCGATGCCTAGCCCGATACTCCCGGTATCAGGACGCCGGGCAGCGCGTCATTACACGCTGCCCGGTAAGCCGGCCGCCACGTCATTACACAGCGCCTGGCTTCCTGATTGGCCAGAAAGCCGGCTCCATGCTTTCTCGTCCCCTAGTGAAAACCGCGTGCGAGTCATTACACGCCGCCTGGCTTCCTGAATGGGACTTCCGGTACTCGTACTCAATACCAAAATACCGGTAGTGGTGAGTCCCTACCTACAAGCTCAGACGAAGTTTCTTAGGACGGATCTCTTACGTCCAAAACTCTCAAAGGGATAAAAGCCTCATATAAAAATGTTTCATCAGATGTTCAGTATTCAGTGACTGCATGTTCCAGCCATTGCTGGCCGATCCCTGAACATCGCAGTCACATGTCCGGGTCCCTCTACAGCTTCCGCCGTGCAGTAAAAGGTAATCGATGAGCTGTGACTCTGGATTGTACGGCCAGAGGTGACGGGGAGTGAAGGGATCGGGAGGGAGTGAAGGGATCGGTGGGCGATGAAGGGATCGGTGGGAGATGAAGGGATCGGGAGGGAGATGAAGGGATCGGGAGGGAGTGAAGCGATCGGTGGGAGATGAAGGGATCGGGGGGGGATGAAGGGATCGGGGGGGAGGGAAGGGATCGGGAGGGAGTGAAGGGATCGTGGGAGATGAAGGGATCGGGAGGGAGATGAAGGGATCGGGAGGGAGTGAAGCGATCGGTGGGAGATGAAGGGATCGGGGGGGGATGAAGGGATCGGGGGGGAGGGAAGGGATCGGGAGGGAGTGAAGGGATCGTGGGAGATGAAGGGATCGGGAGGGAGATGAAGGGATCGGGAGGGAGTGAAGCGATCGGTGGGAGATGAAGGGATCGGGGGGGGATGAAGGGATCGGGGGGGAGGGAAGGGATCGGGAGGGAGTGAAGGGATCGTGGGAGATGAAGGGATCGGGAGGGAGATGAAGGGATCGGGAGGGAGTGAAGCGATCGGTGGGAGATGAAGGGATCGGGGGGGGATGAAGGGATCGGGGGGGAGGGAAGGGATCGGGAGGGAGTGAAGGGATCGTGGGAGATGAAGGGATCGGGAGGGAGATGAAGGGATCGGGAGGGAGTGAAGCGATCGGTGGGAGATGAAGGGATCGGGGGGGGATGAAGGGATCGGGGGGGAGGGAAGGGATCGGGAGGGAGTGAAGGGATCGTGGGAGATGAAGGGATCGGGAGGGAGATGAAGGGATCGGGAGGGAGTGAAGCGATCGGTGGGAGATGAAGGGATCGGGGGGGGATGAAGGGATCGGGGGGGAGGGAAGGGATCGGGAGGGAGTGAAGGGATCGTGGGAGATGAAGGGATCGGGAGGGAGATGAAGGGATCGGGAGGGAGTGAAGCGATCGGTGGGAGATGAAGGGATCGGGGGGGGATGAAGGGATCGGGGGGGAGGGAAGGGATCGGGAGGGAGTGAAGGGATCGTGGGAGATGAAGGGATCGGGAGGGAGATGAAGGGATCGGGAGGGAGTGAAGCGATCGGTGGGAGATGAAGGGATCGGGGGGGGATGAAGGGATCGGGGGGGAGGGAAGGGATCGGGAGGGAGTGAAGGGATCGTGGGAGATGAAGGGATCGGGAGGGAGATGAAGGGATCGGGAGGGAGTGAAGCGATCGGTGGGAGATGAAGGGATCGGGGGGGGATGAAGGGATCGGGGGGGAGGGAAGGGATCGGGAGGGAGTGAAGGGATCGTGGGAGATGAAGGGATCGGGAGGGAGATGAAGGGATCGGGAGGGAGTGAAGCGATCGGTGGGAGATGAAGGGATCGGGGGGGGATGAAGGGATCGGGGGGGAGGGAAGGGATCGGGAGGGAGTGAAGGGATCGTGGGAGATGAAGGGATCGGGAGGGAGATGAAGGGATCGGGAGGGAGTGAAGCGATCGGTGGGAGATGAAGGGATCGGGGGGGGATGAAGGGATCGGGGGGGAGGGAAGGGATCGGGAGGGAGTGAAGGGATCGTGGGAGATGAAGGGATCGGGAGGGAGATGAAGGGATCGGGAGGGAGTGAAGCGATCGGTGGGAGATGAAGGGATCGGGGGGGGATGAAGGGATCGGGGGGGAGGGAAGGGATCGGGAGGGAGTGAAGGGATCGTGGGAGATGAAGGGATCGGGAGGGAGATGAAGGGATCGGGAGGGAGTGAAGCGATCGGTGGGAGATGAAGGGATCGGGGGGGGATGAAGGGATCGGGGGGGAGGGAAGGGATCGGGAGGGAGTGAAGGGATCGTGGGAGATGAAGGGATCGGGAGGGAGATGAAGGGATCGGGAGGGAGTGAAGCGATCGGTGGGAGATGAAGGGATCGGGGGGGGATGAAGGGATCGGGGGGGAGGGAAGGGATCGGGAGGGAGTGAAGGGATCGTGGGAGATGAAGGGATCGGGAGGGAGATGAAGGGATCGGGAGGGAGTGAAGCGATCGGTGGGAGATGAAGGGATCGGGGGGGGATGAAGGGATCGGGGGGGAGGGAAGGGATCGGGAGGGAGTGAAGGGATCGTGGGAGATGAAGGGATCGGGAGGGAGATGAAGGGATCGGGAGGGAGTGAAGCGATCGGTGGGAGATGAAGGGATCGGGGGGGGATGAAGGGATCGGGGGGGAGGGAAGGGATCGGGAGGGAGTGAAGGGATCGTGGGAGATGAAGGGATCGGGAGGGAGATGAAGGGATCGGGAGGGAGTGAAGCGATCGGTGGGAGATGAAGGGATCGGGGGGGGATGAAGGGATCGGGGGGGAGGGAAGGGATCGGGAGGGAGTGAAGGGATCGTGGGAGATGAAGGGATCGGGAGGGAGATGAAGGGATCGGGAGGGAGTGAAGCGATCGGTGGGAGATGAAGGGATCGGGGGGGGATGAAGGGATCGGGGGGGAGGGAAGGGATCGGGAGGGAGTGAAGGGATCGGTGGGAGATGAAGGGATCGGGAGGGAGTGCAGAGATCATAAGAGCACAGACCTGGGCTGGCAGATGTTCACACACATCATGTTCTCCGCGTCGTACACGAGGATCTCGTCGCCGGATCCCGCTGTTAGGAAATGGCGGCCGGAGGGGCTGAAGGTGGCCGACAAGGTCTGTCTGTCCTCCTGCAGGGAGCGCACACAGCTCTGGGTGGAGAGGTGCCAGAACTTCACCTGACCCCCCGCATCTGACACAGGAAGGAAGATCAGATCATCGACATTATTGAGAGACGAAATGTGACATACAAGTACCGCCAGAACCCGTCATAGTCAAAGAGAACCCGTCATGATCCAAGAGAACTTGTCATGATCAAATAAAACCTGTCAAATATAAAGAGAACCTGTCATATATAAAAAAAGAACCCGTCATGATAAAAGAGAACCTGTAATATATAAAGTGAACTCGTCATAGTCAAAGAGAACTTGTCATGATCAAAGAGAACCCGTCATATATAAAAAGAGAACCTGTCATATATAAAAAGAGAACATGTCATAATCAAAAATAACCTGTCATGATCTAGGAGAACCCGTCATAGTCAAAGAGAACCGTCATGATCAAAGAGAACCTGTCATGATCAAAGAGAACCCGTCATGATCAAAGAGAACCCATCATGATCAAACTTTAGAACAATGCGCTCACATGTGGCCAGCAGCAGGTCCCCCTTGGCACTGGGTCTGCTGGGGTGGAATCTGAGCGCTGTGACCGGAAGATGATCTGTAATCGATTGCCCATCCTTCAGAGTGTGTACACAGCTTCCATCAGACACCATGTATACCTGCAGAGACACATGACACCCGTCTGACCGTAGAACTACAGATGACGCCAATACAGTGTACAGAGATCTCTTATTTGCCACATCACCGGATGTATCACATACCGATATACAATGTTATGGGGACAGGTTATAAAATGGTTTCTCATTGTAGTGAAATCTGGGGGCATGAGCAAAGCACAGATTCCACATGAGCAAAGCACAGATTCCACATGAGCAAAGCACAGATCCATATAAGGACACCTCCTCCTAATACCTTGATGGTGCCGGTGATGAGTCCTGCTGCCAGCAGGGTCCCCGATGGGTTAAACTGACAGCTTAGGACCTCCTCGCCGCAGTCACTGGAAGACAAGATGGAGATAAACTTCTCATTGGTATAAAATTTTGGCTTAGAGAAGATTTCACTGGCAGTTGGGCTCAGGAGTCGGGAAGAGGGGCGTCCTGGATTCACCCTCAGACGCGGCGTCACCAGTAATCCGGACATCTCTCAGGTCCTTCTATTTCCTATACGGGCAGCATCCAGACAAATGAACGTATGACGAGGACTGCACACAGATATCACACAACTGTGGACTCCGTTCTACCGAAATCCAACTCCAAACCTAACATACCCCGATGTGGGCAGACCATGGGGACACATCTGTTAAAGGAACCCTCCATGATGAAAACATAAAGCTGCCTCTGCTGACCTCTCCTTCTGAAAATGCCGGGGGCCTGTTTCAATACTTTGGGTTCGATGACCCAGGACAATCATGGAGATAATGACTTCAGGCCCCTCTCTACATCTTTTGTATGATTCTTCCAGATCAGGGACTCAAATATATTAAAGTGGACCTGACCTCTAAAGAAACAGCCCCACACCCTCCGCAGATCTGTACTTACCAAGATCCGGCGCTGCTCCTCTGTTAACATCCAGCACTGCAAGTCTCTCCTGGCCGGCCGCATAGAAGTCTATGGCGTTGTAATGTGCAGGTGCAGCCAACAGGTGGAGCATTGCGGCCCTGGATGTATGTAATAGCAGTACCGTGCCCTTCAGATCTTGGCAAGTACAGATCTGCAGAGGGGGAGGGTGGGATTGTTTAGGTCAGGGGCAAAAAGGATAAGTGCACTTTATTTTAAAGTGCACTTTTCCCTCAGGGGCCCCTCTACATCTGTGCAGTACATTGACTTGCTTCATTTGAATAGACTGCCTAAAGCAAAAAAACAAGACGCATGCATCATTTTTTAGCAATGCATCACTCCAGAGTGCATGATTGCGTGTTGCTTCTGGGAGCCATTCAGCATTGCGGCAGCATAACGGTGTGAATCTGGCACAAACTTTAGTATTTGGGGCCCCAGGAGCTCTTACCTGGGGTCCCCATCACATATATAGTCCTCCATTGCCATCAACAAGCCATTCCCATCCCGTCTCCGGATCTCACCTTCCCTCATCACATCACCCTGCAGACACACAACGCCCATTCACTGACAGCCATCTACCTTACCCAGGAGCTGACACTACAGACCACGTGGTTTGCGGCTGTTTACATTCTTACCCTAGCTCCACCCCTTCTTCAGATATACCTTGCCCAACCCCGCCTTTCTTTTCATATGCCCGCCCAGGTCCACCTGCTCCTTCGTATAGAAACCACGCCCATTGAATAAAATCCCCGTCCAGCTGTAGCTTTTTATATGCTGGCCTAGCTCCACCCCTCCCCTCCCCCCCTTCGCCCTCAGCTGTCTTACTCCATGAATGCACAACCGATCTTTTTTCCCGGAGTACCGTTGTCACAATCACGGAGCTCCCCTCCCCCTCTGTCGCCAGCTAACACGATCAAAGCCGTGCCTCGTTTGGTCCAATATGTCCACCCCCTCCCGCCTTCAGTGATATTTAGACTCCTCTCCGGTGCGTCACGGCACACAGCCGGGATGCAGAAGCTGCGGTCCCTCCACCATAGTGCTCACCGCTCCGCTCTCCTCAGCGTCTTTCCGTCTCCTAGCAACCGGTAGGGCGTGACGTCAGGGGCGGGGAAGTACTATAGGGGGCGGGAGGCGCCACAAGCAACCGAGGGCGTCACTAAGGCGGGAGGCGTGGCTGTAGGCGGCTCCTATACAGGTTCCCATGTGCTCACAAGTCATTTGTAATACGATGTTGTCACCGATCGATGAACCCCCCCCCCAATAATTTCTTGATGTTCTAGATAGCCGGTGCGTGGTGTGTCCATTGCCTAGATACCTTGTGCTGAACGGTGTCAGAGTTTCTGCTCTGAGAAAGTTGGGAGGTAAATACCTGTACTGTATGGCACCCCCAACCCAGTGCTACATGGTCCCCTCTTGCCAGTACTGCATGCATGATACCCCTCTTTAGTTGCATGGTCCCTACACATGTCCTGCATAGTTGTCTCCCCACCTACACTGCATGACTCCCCCATCCCACTTGCACTGCA